CTATTAATGAAGAGAGTCCTATTAATGAAGAGAGTCCTATTAATGAAGAGAGTCCTATTAATGAAGAGAGTCCTATTAATGAAGAGAGTCCTATTAATGAAGAGAGTCCTATTAATGAAGAGAGTACTATTAATGAAGAAAGTACTATGAAAGAAGAAGGTAATACTAATCAAGAGAGTACTATTAAACAAGAAAGTATTACTAATCAAAAGAGTACTATTAATCAAGAGAGTACTATTAATCAAGAGAGTATTACTAATCAAGAGAATGTTACTAATCAAGAGTGTAAACCTAATATATTGTTTGATGCAGAGAATCATATGGAAGTGATAGAAATAGATGACATTGATATTGAAAGTAATGAATATACTGATGAGACTGAAAATGAAGCTTTCAATGAAAAAGATGGCAAGGAAAATGTTTCTAACAGTATTGAAAAAATAACAGATAAAACTGTGAATATGTTTTGTAAGTATTATTATTGTAAACAAAGTATTTTTTATTTCATTAAAATATTCCTTTATTTTAGGTTGTATATATTGTAATAAGTGGCAAGAACCTCAAATTTTTGAGTTTGTACCTAATCAAAAAACAAAAACAATTGAATTAAAAGAAAAAGTAGAGGAAAAAAATGTAATGCCGCCTATTAATCATTCTAGTCCAGTACCAACAGATAATTCTTCTGAAAATAGACAAAATAGTAATCAAACTTCTACTCTTGAATATTCTGAAGTTCATGAAGATATATCTCAAAATAATGATGATAATAAAGTTATATGTAAACAAGTTTGTGAAGATATATCTCAAAATAATGATAATAATAAAGTTACATGTAAACAAAAAAATGATAATGTTGATAGAGATATTGATATTCCAGAAACTGCTATTTCAGATACTCCAGAATTATGTAAACCATCTAGTCTAGAAAAAAAAAAAAAAGTCGAACGCAAATTAGGATTTTTACAAATGCGAATTGATTCAACAATATATTTTGATAATATGGGTTATAGTTACCAAATACAAAATGAAAAAAATGACAAAAAGTAAGCTATTTTTCAGATAAATGAAAATTATTTTATTGAGGTTTTTCAAATAAATATACATGTTTATTAAAAGGTACTTAAGATGTGTTGTTTGGGGTAAAAAGAAATGTCCAGGACGAGCCCATTTAAACATAAAAACATTGAATATTATTAGATCTAGAGGTCACAATCATTTACCATCATCTAATTGCGACGCTGAAAAACAAGCTAGAGCTTTTTTGCATGCTATTAAACAAAGGGCTCAAGATGAAAATACTCCCTTAAAAACTATTTATACAGAAGAAATAAAGAAGTAATTTAAATTTACATTTAATACAACAAAATATATATTCATTATAATAATAATAATAATAAATGTTTAGCTTTCCTCTTGCTAATACTGTGGTTAATTATGCAAATGCTACCAGACGAATGCAACGAACAAGGAGATTAAAAAATCAACCTAGTACAACATCTCAAAAAGAACCACCATTATTATTATCTGTTCAAGTGATACCAGGTACTCGGCGTGGTACATCTTTATATTTGGATGAACTAGGTTATTATTACCATAATGATACACTAACCAACAGTGGAAAGTAACTAAAACATTTTTACTTACAAGTTTTTAACTAAGATTATAATGTATAATAGATGTACTAATTAAAAAAAAATTCTTTAGAATAGTAAGATGTACCAAAAATAGAAAAACAACAACTGATGAAGCATGTCATTCAAGAGGATATATGCGTGCTTCTGGAGATGGATTTGTCATTTATAGAACTAAAGAGCATAACCATCCGCCAGGAGATCTAAAGAGAAATCCACTAGAAAGATCATTCATTAATACCTTATGTGAACGGGCGCGAAATGAGCTTCACTTGGGTCTCAAAGATATTTACAACGAAGAAGTTGAAAGGTTTAATTTATATTAAGTTTAATTGATCATATCATCCTTAGTATCAAAAATACAATCTTTACTTTCTTTTGTTTATAAAAAAAAGTTTTTCTTTAATTAAATTTGTAAATGTATGCTAAATATCTGGTCTTAGATAAGTAATTATTATTAAATTTGAAAGTAAATGATAAATGCTGATAATTACAAAGTAGATTAATGGAATATTGTCATACATTTTGGAAACAACTTATTTATTTTTGTTTTGATTTTATCATGATGATGTCATTGAACTAATTGGTAAACTAATTTAAATCAATTATAATTATTTTTTTGGTTGGGAAAAGTATAATTTCTTTAAAATAGTAATTTTTGATTAATAGATAAGGCCACTAGTATTTTGGAATAGTTTTCTAGTATAGTAGTACCTTAAAAAATGGTCACAAAATAAAATATAGTTATATATTATGGTAACTTTATTGATAGTAATCTAATTAATATATTGTAATCTTACTTTATTTGTCGTTTAGCAACCAGATTATTATATAAAAAGTGTAGGGTAATTATAAATATTAGATGACTAATGTAATTTTTAATACAACAAACTGTTGATTTTCATAAAATTAGATATAATAACAATTTTTTAAAGGTTTTAACAATTTAGTACTCTGCATTAAAAATCTTACTATTATTTAGCTTTTTGTATTAAATTTAAGATATTTATTTTTTTACCTTTAATTTAGTATAAAATTTCTTAATTGTGATGATATAATGTAATTGTTCATTAATCATTAGTTTTCATAAGAACATTTTCAATGTACTATAGATTTCCTGACGTAGCAGATAAAATCCCTTATCGAATGGCATGGCGAAGTATGGCTAGAACAAGACAACCTCCTAAACCATCTGGAGAAGTTAAACTAGTTAATGTAAAGGTTATTTCAGGAATTTGGGATGGATATACACTATACAGAGATGAAATAGGATTTTTATATTCAATGAGGAAAGGAAGAAAGTAAGATAAAGATAGAAATATTTAATTTAATTATTTACAATTTTAATTATTAATATTATTCTTTGTAGATTTGCGTGGTGTCAAATGAATACAAAATTAAAATGTTTAGTTAAAGGTTCAATATTAGTTGAGAATGATACTACAATGTTGGAGTTTACTGGAGAACATAATCATCCACCATTGGGAGATGATGAGTTTCAAGCAGCTATATTTCTTGAAAAAATAATGCTTAAATGTCTGGAAGATGATAGTAAACCAAAGAAATTGTATGACGAAGAACTAGTCAAGTATGATTAATATTGATAATTTAATTATTTAAGTAATGTATTGATATTGATAGTGTTTACACTTTTACAATTAGCTTTCCTGGTGTTGAAAAACGTGTAACATTGTCATACGCACGCGAAAAAATAAAAGCTAGAAGAAAAAGTGCTTTGAAAAAAAATACAACACACGAAATGTTAGAAACTATTTGTGAACCATTGCAATATGTTGAATTTTGGGATGATGACCATATCTCTATTGATGATGATCATAACGCAATTGATGATGACTTTACTGAAGATGTTTACTCTGAAGATGAAGATTTTAGTGAAAAACCCAAAGATTCTGATGATATATACTCGGATGAACAAGGATTCAAATTTACTATAGTCAGTATAAAAAATGAAACTAGGTAAATTAATATTTTTTTCTTATCGATTAATTAGTATTTCATCATGAAAATTTATAATTTATAATTATTTATCTTTATTATGATTAATTTTAGATATTTAGAGTGTATTATGAAATATAATGGATGTGATGCCAAAGGAGAAATGTTTAAAGGTGAAAATGATGAATGGCTATTTGTTCTTCATAGCTATCCCCATAACCATTTACCTGATGAAGATCAATCAAATAATTAAGATTGTTTTATCTACTATTTTCACTAATATAATATCTTATTATTTTTTTTTTTTTTTGCTTATACTGTTGTTTTATAATGAATTTTCTTATTAAATATATTATTTAAGTAGTGACACATGAATAAAAAAATTAAATGTTTTAATATGGCTTTATATTACTACAATATATTAAAATGTATATTTTGCCATTATTTAATTTCACAATTTAAATTATCTAGAGTGTGACTATTAATTCTAACTACTTGGTCATCTTAATATAAAATTAGTAGGGCAAAGAATTTTTTTGGAAATGTTTAAAGTTTAAATATATATGATTTTTTTTTACATTTCGTATATTTTTCTCAAAGTATATTTTATAAATATTTGCTTTTAAGAAGATACTACACCGTATGTATTATACTCATCTTACAAATAAATAATAAAAAAATTGTTTATTCTGACTAATCCATTTAACTCCTTTATGCTTAATATTACTAAAAAATTCACCTATTATCAAATTTAAGAGTAAAAATATTATCTATTCAACTCATGTTTTTTTGTATTTTAATTTTAAAGCAAATTATAAAAGTTTTATAATGTAAAAAGAATTTTAAATTTTATAATATTTATGAATCTCTTAGAAATTGATATATCAAAAAAACCTAAGATGTTCATTAGATAGTATTCATATTCTTAAACTTAATAAAAGGTAATCTTATTGTAATATTAAGCATAAAGGAATTAAATGAGTTTGTCAAAACATACAATTTCTATATTGAAACCTAATGCACGTGGTGTACCATCCTCTTAAGAGCAACAATTTTTAATATGTATGAAACGTAAAATATCATAAATAAATTTACTTATAACACTTTTGAAAAACTATTTTAAACATAACTAACTTTTATTTACGTAAAATTATATTTGGGTATATAATTTATAGGTTACTGGTAAAATGTATTCGGTATGTATTTTATTTTCGTTTATTATAAAATATAACTTTTTCATTATTTATTTAGTTATTCCCATGTATTTTTATATTTACTTTATTGTACTAAAAATATATCATATGTATGTCATATGAACAACTTAGAAGTAAAAACATTTTGCTAGCTTTCTTTATATAGTGATAGTACTGTAGTTCTACATTATTGTCACTATAAAAAGTATGCTATCATTATATAACACCTAAAATTGAACTGTAGAAGAATTAAGTGATAATGTTTTGGTTTATTAAAAACTTGGGTATTTTATTTATTTATTGGGGTTGGGATGTCTAAAGACCAAAAGTAAAAAAAATACCTGCATTTCTCAATAAATTGTACCATTTTTTCAATCAATTTTATTATTCAAAAACAAATAACACTGGATACTTACAAAGTTTACCAAATATTTATTTTAGAATTTTTTTGTCATTGTATAACTTCAATATATCTTAACTCTTAAGTATTTTTGAAGTTATATATTATATTATAATTTTATTTAATCCGTGTTAGTCTTATGGGTATGTAAACACATTACCAAAGACTGATATTCTAAAGTGAAAATACTGTAAATAACAAAATTTGTTCAAGTGAAAAATCATCAAAATATGGAGATAAAAATATGTAATTTAACTTGCAATCTGAATTTGTGTATGGCTTTGTGATAAATTAGACATTTATTATAAAAATTAAATCTTATAATCAATCTATTTCAGTATTAATAATTGTTCCCCTAAAAGGTTTGTTGTTAAGTATAAAACTATAAATTGCTGTTTATTTTAAGTACGGTATATCAGTTACATATTAATATTCAAATAGGAGAAATGAGAGCATTTTGATGTTAATAAAATCAGAAACTTAGTTATATCAAGTACAATTTAACGTTTAATGAAATAAAATGTTAATATATTTTATTTGACCAATAACTTGGTAAGAATAAGTAATACATGAGCGTCATGAGCACAAGCAATGAAACGAGACTAATTCAGTATACTTTAAGATAGCAAACTAAGAGTTATTATAATTTATTTTTAAATTATCAAAAACAGTTTAACTTACATAATGAAACTATAATAATGTAGCATAATGATAGAATGAATGCAAGATGAATTAATGTTTTAAGATTGAGGCAATTATAATCGTATTTGTGTACATTTTATTTTTAATAAGATTAATTTCAAATGGCAAGTTATGACAAAAATTAATTTAAATGTTTTCATATTAATACAATTTTTATCAAGAAATTACTACTTCAATTATCTGTTTTATTTCCAATTATTAAATATAATACTATGTAAAATAATTTTAATATATTCAAATATCTTCACCTAAAAAATGAATACTTTAATTTACTGTGGATCAAAAATATAAAATATAAATAAATAGTCAATATAATGATTAATAACTGTTTAATTTATGTATTTATTTCTTACAACTATTCATGAAAAATAATCACAGACGTTTACTTAAAATCTCATTACACACATTATATTGAAATAATTAAAATATTTTTTTAGGTCGCACAATAATAATTTACACTTATATATTTACAAGTATTCATTGTTCAATGATTAAAAAAAAAATATAGAAAATAAGAACAATAATTATTTAAATTATATTCTATTATACTTAACAGCTTCAAAATTAATTTCAAAGCTTTAGAGTACCGTAATAATACAATTCTATAAAAAAGAAACAAAAAAAAAAAAAAAAATAAGCATTAAAAAAAAAAATAGGCATCTACATGTATGTAGTGAATATATATATATATATATATATAAAAAATTCAAATACAAAACAATAATTTTCTATTACATTAAATAACATTTGTTATTTGTCAAATGTTTAAAAAGTTTACAATTGGTAAACACAATTACAAAGGTATATAATAACTAATTACAAACAAAAATAACAGATACACAAAATATGTATTAAAGTTGTATACATAGTAATAATAATAATATTAACATTTATAAGCAACAACAAAACATTTTAAGTGGTCACAAGTTGATAGTCATCCAAGTTGAAAATGTTAATTTTTTTATAATTATAAAATGCCGCTGACGTTGTTTTGTTGTAGAAAATGCTTTTGGATACCTACATCTGTGACAAAATATAAAAATTTATAGTTCGGTTAAAATTGACAACATTCGGATCACTTACTCAATACATTACAAATTTGAAAACGGTTTAACAATCACGAAACGGAGTGAACAAAATACAAATAACTACAATAAAATTTTTAATTACAAAATGTCCGTTTTACAAAATAAAAATATAATTCATAATTGTTAGCCCAATTAATTGGAGTAATTACAGTTTGTAATACATGTACTTTATATACTTAAATTAACTCTCACAAGAAAAATTATACGTCACAATAATTAATAAAAAATAATTGGCGAAAATCAATAATAAAGCATAAAAAATAGGGCAAACAAAAATGATATAATAATAACACAATACTAAATTGTAAGAATTCTTAAGTAATCACAACAAATATAGTATTATAGAAATTACTTATATTAAATAAAATATAATAACATCTATAAAAATTAATATGACTAATAAATAATAAATATAAATTAAATTGTTTTTTCAAAATATTACATTTCATTTTATAATACAACTGATATTAACTTGGAATTAGAATTATAATATTCTTTTTATGACAGGAAATCAATCAATTAATAGTAATAAATGATATGACATTCTTAGATCAAACAATTTTAAATATATATATTAAATAACTATTATTAAACATACATAAACTTTGTTTTGTAAAATGGACATATATGTTTAATTATTTACAAAGATAAATGTAATGTATAATTATAACATTAACATAATCAGTTATTAATTATTATTACACAATTTCACAAATATAATATAAACCAAATTTATACTTTTTGTTTAATGTTAGTACATTAGATATAAACCCAGTTATACAAGACTACAGAATACTATAAATAATAAAGTAGTATTATAGTTTTCATATCAAAAAATATTTTAAACATTACAGAGTTGATTAAAATTGTCTAAAACTTGAATGTTTTATGCTTTTTAGAATTGAATTAATGAATATAAGTGTATGCTACAAATAAATTTTTGAAGTTAAGAAATTTTATTGCATAATATCAAACTAATAAAACGAATAAGACCATTTGTGATTTTATTCTTTAAATATTATCTATCAACTTATACAGTGTGATCAGTTATCACTAAATATCTTAGCCAGATAACCTTGTATTGAAGTAAATATTATAGAGCCTTGGGGGCACTTAAGTCTTAAATACACATTTATTTATGATTTTTAATTTTTTTTACACTTTGGATGTGCATATGTGCAATCAAACTTACATTTTTTTAAATACACTATTTTTTTTTTACATACTTAGATTATTTTTTTTAAAACGTTTTTAGTATAAAGTTTTTTCTATTTGCAAAACTGACCAAGTTAAAAAGAAATCAACATTCGAGTCATATTTAACAAAATTTTCATTTAAAACCATTAGAAATGATAAAATAAATTACAAAAAAAATGTTTGATTTACCTTATTTGTTTACAAATAATAATTTAATAATATAGTACATTGTTTAGATGAATATCTTGAGTATGTACTAAATAAAAATTATCACATACTCTAGATATTTATCCAAACAACATACAATACTGTTAAATTATTATTTGTAAACAGATATGGTAAATCAAATATTTTTTTTGTAATTTATTTTATCATTTCTAATGGTTTTAAGTGAAAATTTTGTTAAATATGAATTATGCATAAACTCAAATGTTGATTTTTTTTTGACTTAGTCAGTTTTTCAAATAAAAAAAAACTTTTTGTACTAATAATGTTTTAAAAATAATAATCAATCTGAGTATGTAAAAAAAAAAAAATAGTGTTTCCATTTAAAAAAATGTTAATTTATTGTATAACACGTACATAAAAAAATTATAAATATGTATTTAAGTACTCCCTAGGCCTTCTATAATATTTACTTCAATATAAGATCATCCAGTTGAGATATTTAGTGGTACATACCTTAAATTGTGATCATACTATATATATAACAGAAATTTTGTTTTTTGGTAAGTGCATAACTTGAAAAATAATGGACCAATTAGGCTTATTTTTTTCAAAAATATTTGAGAAAAATAAAATTGAAAAAGTAATCAGGAAAATTGAATATTTTAGAAAATACTGAAAATAATTTGTTGATTGGATTTTGGTATGAACTCAAGTAATTGTGCATGAATTTACTGAAATTTAGGATCCTAATGAGACAGGCAAGAAGAAAAGTCAGAACAAATGCTAAGCGAATAAAAAGTAGTAGTGGGCAATTGATGCGACATGGTGGGCTGGGGACTGACAATGTTTATAAAGTCAGTTAATGATGAAATAAATTTTGAAAATTTTTATAAAAAAATAGCATTTTTTTACAAGCAGCAAAATGCATGGGGATAATTATTTTAAATAAAGATAATTTTAACAGCTAAAAAAAATTATTTTCTATATCAATATATTCATTGTATTATATAACCATAGTTTAGACTATTATATGTGCAAGTGTTACTTCTGTCTTACTAACATGTAGCATGGTAAATTTAACGTTAAAAAGAATCCATTTTACTCGTTATTTTTAATATTATAGTTTATAATTTTTTGTTTTTAAAATATAAAAATAAAACTGAGGTGCCCTAGATAATATTTTTGTCAACTTTAATGTTAAAATGAATTATTTTTAACTGTAATGATGATTGATATAGCTTATATAAAGCGTTAGTAAAACGGAGACAACACAAGCGAATATAATATCCTTTTAAGCCGGATTTACATTACACTGTGTTGTGTTCAGTATACTAATTATAAAGGTAATGTTACTTCTATTTAAAATATATTCTACTAATCTTTTGCTATAGTGTATTGGAAAAACAGGCTCAGTTCAGTAGTTCTCATGATGGAAACCAATCATAAAATAGCTAGTGTTTAAATGATGAGCATATGAAAAAATTAAACTATTAAACTATTTTATGATTTATTATCAACAATAGTTTTTTGATATATTTATACAATTAGTAGATAATTTGTTTACTATAAGTACTTTAAAATAGTATTTTCTTATCAATTTTCATTCTATTTTATGCATTTATATTATTAAATGTAAACAATTGTTTATCAAATCAATTTTTTTTAAAAGTCTTATCTAATCTTAGCAACACTTGAGTAACATACAGGGCATGAGTATTATGCAATTATTATTTTTATAACTTCTAAATTAAAATCTTTTATTCAACACTGAAAACAAATTTAAAAATATTAAATAAAACATTCACTCCGTTCCATTATACATTTTAATATCATAAATTATAAATAAATTTTATAATAATTATAATATTGTATTCATTAATCACTTAAAAATAAATTGTTATTTAAACAGGACATTTGGAAGGATAAATTAAATATTAAAAACTTAACATAGCAAATATAATTTATAGGATTTTTTCATAACTATTAACAGAATGTATATTAAATAATGTTAATGAACTATAGGAACATGAATTATAAATAAATCATTCAAAGTAGTTATAATTAATATTTAAATACTAGAAAGTTGAATAATTAAAAAATCTTTACCATGTAAAATAAAAGACTAGCATGACCAATAAAAAAAGTAAATATTGAAATTTATTGTACTACTATTTTATTGCACTCAAAATATATTGAAAGTAAAAATAGAAATTATCAACAGATAAAATATAAAAATATAGTATATTTAAGATCTATAAAACATAAATAGCTTTAGACCAATTACAAAATATGTTTATTTATCATTTAATTTTAATTCCATAATTCATAGTCACACAATGAATAAATGAATAATGTAATTTTAGAAACATAAAAGGTTAAAAATATTTTAAATTAATATAAGCTGGTTTATATTAATAAGACATGAAAAATTAATGTATCAATATAAATTATTATCAGTCTTATGAATTCAAGATTACTCAGTCTTTGTTTAGGTAGAAATAAGGAATTTATTTTAATAAATAAATATTTCATATAAAAATTATTTACAACTGAAATTTTTTAATATTATTAACATAATATGCCAATCAAATTTTAAATAAAAAAATGTATTGAAAATACTTAATATTATAACAAAATTTACCAAAAAAAAAAACAACTAACAATTGAGGAAATTTAATTTTTATTATTTAGTATTTACTTGTCTTTAATACTGTAAATGTGGCGTATACACATTGAAATTTACCTATTAAATTTTTTTTAAGTTTACGATCAGATAATAAAAATAATTTACATTTATAAATATGATAGTTGTGTTACACAAACCACGTGAATATATTTACTTCAAGTCATTATTGCTCAGATTAGATAAATATATTAATTTTTTTTTTTTTTGGATAAATATTGGTTAAACATCCTTACACATTGTGGGATCAAAGAAAAAAAATTAAATTAATCAAGTCATTTAATAAACACTTCTAAATTAGAATTTTTATGTTTAAGTAATTTAATGAAATTGATTTATTTATAGTATTATTTTTAAAAATAAAATACTCTTTATTTTATTGAATAATAAATTGGATCTAATTGAACATTTAAAAGTGTCCTAAATTCATATTTTTATACCAATTAAATTAAACTATAATTTAAGTATAAAACATTTAAATAGCTTGCACATATCAAAAATTAGAAAATATAATTTTTGAAAAATGGAATGTAAATGATATACATTTATGAATAAAAATGAATTAATTGCTATTATGAACCAGAAAGAATAAACTAAACTAAAATTAATTTGAATTTTAGAGAACACCATAAAAGTAAAGGTGAAACAAAATAGTAGTTATAAAATAAATTGACCAAGAGGATAAAAATGCATGTGATTAGGACATCAAATACCTGATCGAAATCTGTAACATTAATGTTACGTTTTATGATCTTCCTTAGTCCTTTTTGATTTATGTTGTCATTATTAACACCTGTTGTTCTCAAACGTACTGGTGCTTTTTTTAATTTACCCTTAAGACGTTTGACACTTGCATAAGATTCTACTGCTTCATTATAATCTTCATGAACTAAATTTGAATAAATATATAATAAATGTAATTACATTCTTACTTTGAAAATTAAACATTTATCAGTAAAAACATTTATAACAAATTAAAAATGAAACAAATAGCTTTTTGCCTTAAACTTCATTTTGAAACAACCACTTTAATATAAATCCATTTATACTCAGCAAAGAGATGAATTTTAAAATATTTTGGTAATATACCATAGTGTTGTTTAATTCAGATATTGATTAGAATAGAGAATGTTATTTGATATGATATCATATAGATGGTTATAAAATATTACAAGAGTACTTAGAAGTTTTGATATAATATTTAAATGAGGACAGATAAATGTTTTAAGCTTTTAATTATGTTTTGTTTAATATCTATAATAAAACTGAGTTAGCTATACTAAAAAATCTATAAAAAAATATTTTTTTTATGTATTTATTTAAATACATAAAAAATGGGAATACTGAAACATAAGTTTTACCATTGTCAGTCCTTGTGTTATCTCGATTCATTACAATTACTCTTCGACCATCTGAGTTACCTGAAAGATAAAATTTATAGTTAATTAAATTAAAAATAAATCATTTTCATTACTTCATAATTAAAATAGGTAAAAAAATATTTTGCTAATAATTAAAATAACACAGGTGTTATAAGATCTAAAATCAACAAATTATGCACAAAAAATAAAAAAATAATTTATAATTTAGTAACATGTTCGTATTTTTAGTATTTATCATAAAACATACTCTTTGTTAAGTAATAATGAAATGTGAATTTTTAATTTTTAAACCATTTATTATATAGCATATATTTCTAGCTTGGTTTACTATAAATAAAATCATAAAGAAAATTATGCAACTCTAAAACTTCTGTTATATACTCTGCTCAAGAAACACAGCAACCACAGTTTTTATCAACACTAATTGGCCTTCTTTGCAGAATTAGCTATTGTTTACACAATTTTACATAATTTAACCACAACCCTGCACACTAGTCAGCCAACTTGAATAAATTATAATTTATAAGTATTAAAAAATAAACTTTTAATAAAATAAAATAATAAATCCATACAACATACTTTCTGTTTTTATGCTAATTTCTGGAATTTTAGAATGTTTTTTTCTCTTAACTTCATTATTACTGCTGAAAAATATTCATAAAATATGTTCAATTAAAGTTATTTAACGTTTTAGTCATATTCAATTACATAACCATAATATGTAAATGTAATAATACCTTGAACCAACAACACCTCTTATAGCTGATTGTAATAACCGTGCAGGATAAAAAGATTCTGGTTTTTTTTTAACTTCCACTTGAATCTAAACATTTAAATCAAATTTTTATAAATTAAATTAAATTATGTATTTGAACATAATATTTTTATCTACCATATTTAATCGAAGAGCTCTTCTTCGTTTTAGTTCTGTTCTAAGATCAACTGTATCATTATGTTGCAATGATTCTTTTTTATCATCAATTTCTTGTGAGAGTTCTTCAATCTCTTCTTCCTCTTCAATAAATTCCTCACAACTATCACTGGAATCTTGACCATCTTCTTTTTCACTTTCTTCATCAACATTTTCTTCAGATACTTCTTCCTCAGATATTTCTTCTTCTGATAATTCTTCTTCTGATGTACTAGACACTTCGACTGCTTCAGAATGCAATACTTTTGTTACAGTAGTATTTGATTTAGGAATATTCTCGACATGTTGATCAAATTTATCAGCTAAAAAATAATCAATATTACCATCAAAGAAATTTAAAACTTAAGTAAAATTAATTAAATATAATATCAAACCTTCTTCAACAAGTGTTTCATTTTTTTCTTCATTTTCAAAAACAATCCTGGGTCGCTTTTTATTACAAATTTTATCTGAAGAATTATTTACCTTTATAACTCTTCTTAGATGTACATTTTCTAAATCATTATTCATTTTTATGTTAATATTTTTCGGAACCTGGAACGAATGTGTAACTTTTTTTCCTTTCTTTGTTAAGTGATTAGTTTTTGGTTTTATTTCTGATTCATTCTTATCATTTTGAGTTTCTTTACTTTCAGTTTGAATTGCTACTTGAACTGAATTGGATTTTTTTAAAATAATTTTTTTACTAGTTGGTTCAATTGGTTTATTAGATTCAAATTTCCTTCTTCTTGCTTCTAAAACTGGATCTACTAATTTTGATTCCATTTGATTATCAATAGTTTTAACCTTTTCTCTTTTTTTTAAGTGATCGTCATCTATACTTTTACTATCTTTACGCCGAATAGGAGATATTGGTCTTGACCTTATAGCTTTTTTTAATGGACTAGGTGATCTTCTTCTAATAGCTGGCCTTGCCTTTGGTGATCTTGATTTTGATTTAATTTTGAGTGGAGATCTACTTCTTCTCCTTAATGGAGATAACCGTCTTCTACTAGGTGATATATCCCGTGATAAAGATCTGCGTCTTCTTCTTGGAGATGGTGAACGATAAGAATAACGAGATTTCAAAGGTGAATATCGTCTAGGAGAGAGATTTTTTTCTCTTAGTGGTGACATACGTCTAGGTGATCTTCTAGGTGATAATGATCTACGATAAAGCCTTGATCGTGGTGGTGAATATCTATATCTGTCAATAGAAGGAGATCTTCTTCTTGGTGATCTTGAAAATGGTGACCTTTTACTATAAGGAGATATTGATCTTTTTCTAATGGGTGGTGATGGAGATCTCAAAGGTACACGTGATTTTGATAAACTAGATTGTGATGAAGAGAATCTAATTTCTTCTAAAGTTTTTATAGATTCTAATTCTTCTTCAGGAGGATTCAGTTGAGTTTTGGAATTTTCAATAATCTTAGGTTGATTAACAAATATAGGAGGTTCATCTATTTTTATTTTAGCATTCAATTTATTTTTTAAATGACCCTTATCTTTTTTATTTTTATGTTTTAAATTTTTTTTTTCTTTTTTGGATGATTTAACATCTCCACCAGCAATTTCAGCCTCCATAATGTCCATTAATTTATCAAGATCATCTAAATCTTCATCTTCTTCTCCTAATAATAAGACATCTCCATCATCTGAATCTTCTTTCCCATCTCCTTCTGCTTCACTATTATCACTCTCTTCAGAACCAGATTCATTGTCTAATCTGCTAAATTTTGTAGAAACTGAAAACATAAATAATTTAAAGGAATGCATAAAGAATTAAAATAATTGAAAAAAAAAGTGTCATCATTTTTTTTAAATATTGACAAAGGGGTACTTTATATTAATATATTTTAATTAATTACCTTCGTTATTTAAATTCTGAGAATTTGTTAATTTGGTGGAATCAGAAGTAGATGTATTTATTGAATTAATATTTTTAGGTGAATTCTTAGATATTGAATCATTCAGTGAATCACCTTCACTATCCATTGGTATAATGGCAATCAGATTATTGTTTGCATGAGTTGGTCTTCGAAAACCAACCTATAATGAAAATCATTTAATAAAAGGAGATATTTTAAAGAAGAATTATTTATAACTTACATTTGCATATGCACGTTTATTATACTGTCTATTTGGTGCTGCTGGAAAGCGTCCTCTGTTATTATTTCTTGCAGGGTTACTATAGGAATTACCATTTGAAAATTTATTAAATTCTCCAGATGTACTACTTATTGCATTTATTGGCAAATTAGATTTTTTTTTGAATGTCATAAGTGCAGCTAGACGTAATTTTTCAACATCATCTTCATCAATACTCTAATAAAAATAATAAATAATTTTATATGAATAATATTAAATAAGTGATAATAAAATATGAATATAATAATAATTTTTTAATTATTCTAAACTAATTATTCATTAAAGATAAAAATACACAAATTAAGGTAAAAAAAATAAAATAAAAAAAGCTGGACTAAATCAGTTTATTATTTTGCATTCTAGTACATTAATTTATTTTACCTAATTTGACAGTAAAGAGAATTTTATAAAAATTAATTTTAAATTTATGTTGAGAAATAATTACATTACTAAATACTATAAATAAATAATAGAAAAATACATAAATATAATAAAAACTTCAAGAGTGATACTATGTATAAGTACGAAATGACATGAGAACAAACTAGTAATATAATTTCCCAATCCTATTTACTGATAAAAATCAAATAAACATAATATTCTTGATTAGTATAAACCAAGATAAAGGTTTTTGAAAGTTTACATATTTGTGTTTTCTTAAAAAAAACAGTCACTTATCAAACTTATATTATTATTATAATTTATAAGTAGACCTTTGGAAAATTATTTAAAATATTTAAATATAATCCATAGGTAAACCAAGATAAGATTAGGTTACCTTAATTTTAATATTAAGCAACATATGTAAACAAATTAATACAATCAATAGGTAATATCAGATTTGTATATAATTATCCTTGTTTTAATAGTTAAGAGAATCATATATGATACATCAAGCATAACTGTTTTGAATGATATAAAATCTTTAACTATCTACTTAGTAACATTCATATTCTTCCAAAATATAAAAAATCTATCCCCACACATGTAAGCATTACACAATTTGTAATAACAATAGACTTGAATACTTGGAAACAAGCATATTATTAATAGGTGCAGCACTTATAATATAAATTATGATATTTTTATTATTAACAATGAAGCGTTTATACTCACATTATAATCCATTTTCTTTTTATTGATTCTGTTTAATAAATGTTTATGAATATTCTACTTAATACGGGCAAATAAGACACTAAAATGATTGAAACATATTACTAAAAGACACAATATACACAATACACGAATAACGAATAAATATGTAATAATAATTAAGAAAAAACAATAACGTAAACTTTTTAGTTTTGTTTACAAAATTCCTGTTTCCAAGAGGCCAGGACTAAATAGTAAAAAGTAGTCAATACAAAACTACTAATATACTAAATACATTATGGTATTGTACGTTTTAGTCGTTTTACACATATGCACAATAGTACAATACAAGCAATAAGCATAAGGTATTGAAGCAATGAAGATGAAAAAAAAAAACGAAAACAATAACATAACAGATGATCCAAAGAAATGCGAAAATTGCAGTGTTGCAAACCAATACTACATATGAGTATTACCAACACAAATTTAATCATTGTATAATTGCTTATATAACATATTATTATTGTGTATCTTAATTCTTAAATCGTCTTACCGGAAAAGCCTAATGCCAGTAATGCCTCCTATTGAGTTCTGAATCTGAATATTCTGATTACGGTCTTCGAACTTCCAAGCTTTTTAGATCGTGATATATCTAATTATCACTTATATTTTAGTTCGTGATATAAATAAATATGTATGTCTTGAACAACTCGGTCGTAAAAATAAAAATTCGGACAAGAGCCTAGTCTATGAATTTGATAAAATGATAATTATTAATTATTAATGATAAATTAATTTGGTGGTAAAATTGAGATTATATTGACTGCTTGGTCTGCTTGTCTGCTTCAATTACAACGATGAACGAATCATTCGGCTGTGAATGACGATGCCGTGGACGTTAAGTTATTAGAGAAATATATGTGAAGCTTTATGTTGGATGTAAAGTGAATACCCAGCTGATTGGCGAGAGAGAACCGTCCGTGACAATTAGGATGAATACCGGAAAAGTGTTATTGAGTATTGACTAAAGTATTGTAGACATACTTAGCTGGTGCAGATATTAGATAATTACGTACATGATTTAAAGTTTTTTTTTTTTGGGCGAGTAATGCGGAAAAGTGATTAAGATGGATATATAGTTGATTTTGTATATTAGAAGCTTGTTTATTTTAATGAAATACCTAATAGCACTTGGCTTATGGAAAATTTGCTGCTAAAACAAGAACTGGGAGTTTTTTGGACATAGTACTAATAGTAATAAAATTCGAGGAAAGAATCGAAAGTATACAATTCTTTGTTTAATAATTTTTTTAGTAAGAATTTGTTGGCAAGCTATCTAATTCTAATGTGGAATGAATGACATGATGTTTCGACCTCAATAGCATTAGAGAGGGTAAATTTTAAGGTAAATAATGGGTTGTAGACAAAAAATTTGTAATTTATTGAGTTTACTAAGAGGTGAAAGAACAGAAGAGCCTGAAAAGAAACAATAATCAAAATCAAGTTTGGTACCTACAAAATATTTGGATATAAGTATTAACACGGTAGGTGGAATCCCCACTATGTATTGGCCATGATTTGCCTAATAAATATCCCCAGAAAAAATAACCCTATAATAATATATATAATAAATAAAAAATATTCACCATAAATGTATAATACAATATAATATAATAATAATTTAAAACAAATATTTAGTCAAAATTTTCAGTCACGGTAAATAATAATATTTAAAAAATATATATAATATTAATATCTATTTTATAATCGTTTTCTTAAATTAAAGGATATTTTTTTCAAAAACATGTCTACTTCAATTTCGTTTGAATTTAACCGTTCACACAAGGTTTTTAATCTCTTTTGAGCGGTTTTTGATTTAGAACATTTAGTTTTGGACTCTCCTACATTTTGCAAAGCAAGTTTTGCACGGTCAGCCGACATTTCATTTTTTATTTTATTGATCAATGTCCAAATCGATGGATGTTTTACTCCGACTAAATGATTAAATCTATTGTTCCATGACTCGCCATCATTATTGGTACGTTGATTATTTTCCCTAGTTGTTTGGTGAACATTCCAAGTTTCCGGAGGAAATATTGCTGGAAAACGTCGAACGTTTAAACTTGAAACATTTTTCGAGTTTAACCGTTCAAAGTACATACCTTCTATTTTTAAATCTGTTAGATTTTCAGGTACTATTGGAAAACTCTGAGTCCTTTGATTTTGAATTGTTTTTTTTATAGATTTTTCTTTCGGAAGTTCTTCAAGTATACTTTCCGAAAGACCGGTCATAGCTTCTGAAAACAACTGTGCTGGCGTAGACTACGTCATTTTGGCCCGTGTTTTAATTTGAATTTGAATTTTTGCGGCATCAATTTCATTTTGACACGACAAATGGTTATGTTCATGATCAATTTTAATTAAACGTTTTTTATCTAGAGAAGTTTTTAAAATACACGGACACTTGTAGCTATTTTTTTTTTACAACATTTCCACCTTATGAAATTTATATACTCTTTGTGTACAACATACATATACTTTTTGAATGTCAACTTTTCTTTGCCCTTCTAGCTCTCAAAAATATCTAGAATATCCATAACAGTTTAACACTATTCAAAACAAAGCACAGAGAAATATATAATATACGAAAGCCATCTGCAGTACCGAATACTGAGAAATGAACACACACAGGACTTGACAAATTTTATAATCAATATAATCTAATCTAGTAGCACTGCCATAATAATAATATAATAAATATAAATTACTATAGAGTGTAGATAGTAAATATTATCTATATTTTTTGAACAATAGTGAAATAAGACTCGATCATATAATCTTAACTGATATAACGGGTTTTTTTTCCGTGGTTATTTTTTCACGGGGTTATTTATTCGGGGTCTAAATTTCCGGAGTTATTTTTTCGCGGTACCATTGGCCATAATCGCCCCATAGATCTAAGAAAGTAAAGACCATCGGATGGCAGAATTAGTTAAACCACTTAAATTAAATCTAGGAAAAAAAAGACAAATAGTTACTTATTTATAAATTGTTAAAGTAATGGTAATTAAATATTTTTATCATATTAAATAGGTATTACAAATTATTGTATTGTTAATTTCTCATATAATAGGTGATAAACAGGGTTCAGGATTATTGTCGAATTTGCCGACTTATTTAACATTTTGGAAGGTGTATCTTAATACTAAAATAATTTAATACAGTTTTGTAAGGTTGAGTCTAGGTATTAGAATAAAGGTAATGAAATATAAAATCATTTAATTATATTTATTATTTAATTATTTATAAAATAACATAACTTAGATATGATAAAAAATATTAAAAATATATATTACCATTATTTTAACAATTAATAAATAAGTAATAAATTGTCTTATTTTTTCTGCAGCTTTTTTTCTTATTACCACTTAAACCATATATCTGAGGAAATCATCTAAGTTTTGAGTTCATGTAAAAATATTATAAATAAAAGTGGTTTGAGATGTAAGGGATTTATTATGAATAATATTAAGCAACAATGATTTAAAATAGAACTTGGAATTTTGTACCGGACGGCGGACAGTGCCGGTATAGTATGGACTAAGGTTGTAACACATAAAACACAAAAAATGGTGGTATTGGACCAATAAAAATTGTTCTGTGATAGGACATAGGACCACGGTTATCTTTATCTATACAGTATACATTCCAAACAGTACTCACTAATTTACAAAACAGTAAACATCAATCTCAATTAAATTTATAAACTACGTAGGTACCTACTTATTGTCCTAAAAACGTTTACTATTTATAGGTTTCCTTAATATTAATTCGCATGATTATCGATTAATGATTAACGACTTAAGTCTAGTCTATCAATAATTTGCCTTTCGGCTCTTATATTAATTTGAATTTTGAATTTTTTAAAACCGACTAAACGAATTAGCATTTATAAGGTTCTTACGTTAGAGTTAATGCTTTTAAAGTGATCTCACTACTTATTTTATTTATTAACAACAGTACCTATTTAGCCATTTTGAACATAAGTTTTTTTTCTTTATCATTAACGTAGTAACGTATAACATAGGTAATAGTGATCACGGCGTAATAAATTTAAAGTCAAAAAACTAATCTTTTAAAACCGTATTTTTAAACGAAAATTAAATTTCACAATGAGCAAACCGGTATGTATTTTTAAAACTATTTTTTATAGTTGATATATTATTATATTAATACATTATTAAGTTAAAAGTTATTTATATTATAAATGTTTGTAAATTTGTATAGGTAGATTAAAATTGAAATTCATAATTTTCAATATGTATTTCAATATTAATTGTATAATATATAATATGTACTGTGTATTCTTAGATGATTAAGTCAGTGGTCAACAATTTGGCTTATAGGTATAAATCTAGTTTAGCACCCTCTCGAAATTTTAATTTTCTTTTTTTTTGATATCCATTTATTTTAACGTTTTAAAAATTATGGTGTCTAAAGTTTTTTCTGGAAATTATTAGTTTTAAAGTTATAACCTAATAAGTTCACGATTTTTGGTGCCTTACGCATGCGCAAAACGCATAGTAGTGATATAATTTTTAAATATTAAAATACATAGGTTTCCAAAAATAAAATCGAAATTTCAAGAGGGTGCTAAACTAGATTTGTTCCAACCATACGATAAGTTGTATTTATAAATTTAATTTATGAATTTTAAATTTTAATACTGGTCATTAGTGGTTAATGAAGGAGTGTTAATTAACATTATTTTTCATTCTGTGTTAGGGTCCCATGGTCATTAGTTATTAGATTTAACCTCACATACTTATGTCTTATTCAGAGTCTTGTTAAATAACCTGATCATAATAAAATGAATATAAATTAAGTAATATAATTATATTTCCTTCATAATGTACCTAGTCTTAATATTTTTACTGTAGTTACAACTTTTTTCATTTTCAAAAAATATCTTTAATGTTATCAGTTATTTTTCATGTTATTATTTTAAAACAAATTCAATATTTGAATAGCAGTATAATTCATTCTTAATATATTTTAGTGTAAAAAAATTGTACTATATATATCATAAAAATCTAATAAAAATATTACATGTAACTAAATGTTAAAGAGCTTATTTAATTAATCTATTATTGATTCATCAAATAATTAGTAAACTTTTTTATGAATTGCAATCGTTTTGTATAAAAAAATTGTTATGTAACTTGTTGTAAAGCAATAAAGAAAATAACATTTTGGTAAAATAATAATAAATAATATCACTTAGTGTATGGAGTATGACCAGGGATGTTCATAGAAAAAAGTTTTAGGGGGTATTTTTGAAAATCAGTTATTAAGAAATAGAACTTTTTTTTAATAAATATAGGAAATACACAATAGGTATAATTTTATTTTATTTATAAATCATGTTTAAGTATTTTTATTTTGCTCTAGTTGATTTTTAACAAACATAATATAATACTATACCTGTCTAAAAGTATAATATAACAATTTACATTGAAAATGAATAAGTAAATAATAATACAAATCATCAAATATTTCGGGAGGTGTTTGAACTTCCAAAAACACACCCCTGTGTATATCCCTGAGTATGACTCAATATGTCCATTATAGCTGTGTCCTTTTTGACTAAACAAATATTTTATTTTGTTATCAAAAATTAATGTTTCTGTTTTAATTTTCAGGTTTCTTATTCAGAAGATCAATTAGCAGGTAAATGATTTTATTTTCTATTTATGTAAGTTAAGAAACATACTTGACAGTTGACTAGTGCACAAGGCAGACATACAAATAATAAAATGGTGACTGGCTGGTGTGCCTGTCCACTGCTGATAATGTTTCAGCTTTAAAATTAAGTATATACTATATAGTTTTTTATTTTAAAGTAAGTAATAATAGCTATAATTAGTAATTTCAATATTAATTTCATGAATCTAAGAAAGAGTTACCTATTTTATCCAGATTCGTAGATAGGAATTTTGAGAGGAGATATTTTAATTTAATATTTAAATACAATTTCAAGGGGTAGTCTTTTCATAAGCATCCATCATGGAGTTATATGGTATGTGACATAGGTGGCCAACTTGTGGCTGTTGTCATTGTTAGATGCGGCTCACATCTTATTTATAAAATCAAAATTAATTTAATATAATTATGAATTTTAATTTTTTGGGTATTAACTTTAAAAAATTATCAAATTTTATAAAATGTGTCTATAAACATTTTGTCTCTTGGTATCATTGTATTTATCTATGTGGCTCATGAACCTATTCATGGTGGCCACTCATGGTATATGATGTGTGGTTAAGCATATATTTTTGGATTTTAAGGTTGAAGAGGAAATGTTTTAACATACAAAACACTCTCCTAGTTATATGCTTGATTTTATTATTTTTATAAATTATAATATATAATAATACATTCTAGGACTAGGGACTTATACAAGTTAGTATGTTTTTTAATTAAATATAATTAAAAAATTAGCTTTGTCTAAGCATAAACAAAACTGAGATGGACAATCCACCTGCAACTGAAAGTTATAATCAAATTTTTTTCTAACGTATAACCCAATAGTGTAACTAAGAAGTTTCATAAGATGCAGGCACACTCAGGGTTGTTTGCTTAGAGGTCCAAAGTAATAAAATGTTTTTATTTAAATAATTTATTGAGTTATTAATTTATTTTTTTTTGTAAAATAATTTTTATAAGATGAACACACCACTCTTCAATAATCATTATAAGATCTTGCAATAACTCCAAACTGAACTCTTTTTAGATTTATATCAACACTAAATCATGAATACATGTAGTAGTCATAGATGTTCATTTATCAATTATTTTTCTCATCATCAAAAGTTTCTTTTGGCTGATGCAAACTTCCTTGTAGAACCAACACACGTTTAATAATTAATTTAATTCCCTGAAATTACCTACTTCCATATTGTTTATTTCTTTGTAAAAATCCATAATATCTTTATAGGTATTTTATATATTTTTTTGTTAAATCAGTTTTGACTCATTAATTGGAGAAATATTAATTCATTATCTTCATAATAATTTGTACATTTTAAACAAAATTATTTATTTTTTAAATTGTTTGATAAATTAAGTATATATATTGTAGTAAAATAATCAAAATTATTGTTAAACTTTGTTCAATCCACTTAGCAGATAGGTTATCTACCATAGTACCATATTATTATATAGTTGTCAGCTGTTAATCAAAAATTGTTAAAATTTTATATTCAAATACAATTATTGTAAATATATACACAAATACAAATATGTAACTGAGTCATGCAATTTTAATATTTTGAATTATTTTCTAATATTTTTAAATCTGCTATGTTTCTTTGAAAATTAGATTGATATAAAAAATAATAATATTTTAATTTATTTAGTTATTACTATTTAAGGATACATAATTAAGGTAAGCCCAGATCTACCTACTGAATATGTCATTGCTACATAGGTAGAAATATACTAAAGGCAATTATCATAACTTTTTAACTAATAAAAAGTATTTAAAATTATCTATGAAAATATTAATTTATGTCCTTCATAAATACTTGCTTACTCTACTATTTACTTCTTATATGATTTTGTATTGGCTGACTTTTCAAATTTCTTTAAATAACAAGTTTTTTTTAGAAATTGTTTCTAAATTTATTACTGTTAATCAATTCCATATTACATTTATATTATTTTCATGTATTCATATTATAATACAATTTTTTTTAGAAATGGAAGAAGCATTTCAATTGTTTGATAACAGAGGTGACAATAAAATACACATATCACATATTGGCAATGCTCTTCGTGCTTTAGGTCAAAATCCTACAGAATCAGATGTAAAGAAGTTTGCACAACAGCATAAAACTGGTATGATTTAAAAAATTTATATAACAAATATCAATATGTTGATATCAAAATTTAAATTATTAAATGGTAAAAGCAATTTATTTTGCTAATAACATTTTTCTTTTAAGATGAACGCATTCCATTCGAAGTATTTTTACCTATTTATCAAGCTATATCTAAAAATCGTTCCTCAAATACAGCTGATGATTTTAATGAAGGTTTACGACACTTTGATAAAGAAGGAAATGGATTTATATCATCTGCAGAATTACGCCACTTACTTACTACGCTTGGTTAGTAAATAACTTAATAGTATTATCTTTATGTATTAATAATCAAAAGTGTTTGTAAAATGTAGGAGAAAAACTTACTGATGAAGAAGTTGAACAATTATTGACTGGGCAAGAAGATTCTTTAGGTAACATAAACTATGAGGAATTTGTGCGTTCTGTAACATCGGGTTGAATTCTTCAATAATTTTTTAGTATATATTTAATTCATCATATCTAATCATTATTTACACATTTTAAATACAACATACTTTTATATTTTGTTATTATTATATGAGGAAAGTGGGAAAACTGATTATTTTGTGTATGTTTATTATAATCTAATAAAAATCAATTGATTTAAGTTTATTAAGAACTTCAAGATGATTGTTCATATTTATTGGTCTAGAAAATATAAATTTAATATTTTTTTTCAATTGTTGTTTAGTGAATATTCATGTAGGTTATGTGTTGTTTTTGTATTAATAATAATTATAAGTATTATATTGCATGATCAGAGGGGAACAATCCATTAGTCTTTAGTAATTAAACAATTTTTAATTTACATACTTACTACATGCATTATAATCTAGAGTAAAATCAATAAAATACTATAAAAAAAGCTTGTTTAATAGTTTGTTCATGTCAGTAAATACCATTGAGTATATATAGTACTGTACATACTCAATGGTAATACTCACCATTAACAATTCTATGACAAATTACGCTTAAAAATTAAAATAAGGAAGTAACAAATACAGTTTAAAGTTATTCATAAATTAATTTATGACTTAAAATGTTATGGTTAAATCAATTATCCAATCAGATTAACACATTAATTAACATGGTTATTTCAGAGTTATTTTTTAAAACATCTAATACTTAATAATAGTTAAATTTCTTATGAAATAATATTTTTTTAGTTTTTATTATTCAATTATTTAATAATTGTATTAGAATCTAAATGTTAGGATATTTTTTTGTGGGAAGTGTCATTCAACAAGTGCCTTAAGTGAGTCTTCTTGATAATTTAAAATTTAAAATTAACATTTGTAGACACCTACTTTTAAAAAAATGATTATTTAAGCTAACACTATATAAAGTATTAAAAAGTTTAATTAATATTTTAAGCATTACCTGAGTTTAAAGAAGCATAATAAGATATCTACTTAAAAGAATATAATTATTGCTATTATGCATAATTATAATTTATAAAGCTTATTTTAGGTACTTTATTAAAATGTTGAGCAAAAAATAATATAATTTTTCAAATCATTGTTTTTATATGAGTGTTTAGGTCATTCATATTAATAATATCTTTTTGGAAGTTTTAATATTCATCAAAATTATAATTGTTTATGTACAAATCAATCAATCAACTACCTAATGATTTTTTGATTCTATTCAAGTTTAAAAATTTCCTGGAAAGTAATTTTAAAAACTAACAAAATTAGTTATTAAATATGTAAAATCTATAAAATATTTGATTTTTTTTAAATACAAGTCTTGAAAGTTGCAATAGTTGCATATTGGTTTATAGTATACTCTCAATGTGTAATACCACTTAAGAAATCTAAGCTATACTCCTATACCAGGGTTAACTTAGCTTAAAAATAGAAAATTTAATATTTTTCAAAAATTGATTCATTTTCCAAACTAAGTATTTTAAATAATATTAAATATAAGATTTAATATTGTAGCCTCAGTAATTAATGTGTTCTGAGGTCAAGGATCGGCCGGCGTCACTGGTGACGAATCCATGGTGCACCACCTACACACACGTGTTCCAACCCTACACAAAAAACCTACTGTTCCTATCCACAAATAATGGTCTTAGGTCGTAGTTGCCTAGGTCAAAATGTAGATTAAAAAAAAATACTTTATATTATTTCACGTTGGTATTTTTTATCGTAACAGTTTATCAGTTAAATATTTATTTGAAAACTGCAATGTATAATCTCTGTTGTGCCATTATACTGATTATTTTTTCGTTGATAAGTTATAGACTTATCGTAAATTTATTTATTTATTCATTAGTAGAATTGTAGTATACGACGATTGATATTCAATAGTTATTTTTTAGTTTGATAAAATGTAGTCAGTTTTCTGCCATATTTTAAATCTATATTGTGCATAATATTAACAACTTTAAATGTTTTTTTTTTTTAATATATATATATAATTTTGAATAATTGTGGATATTTAAAAAAAAATTGTATGCATGTCTTGTCTTTTTTTTTAACTTCTATAACTTCCGAGTCCTACTTATGACCATTATATTTTTTGAAATAGTCCGTAATTGTATATAACAATGCGTAATCTTTAATTAATTTATAAGTAGGTACCTACGTAGTAACACTGAGATAGGTATATAAAATTGCAATAATAAATATAAAATGATATTTAGCATAAAAAAATAAAATCTGGGAAAGTTTTCAATTTGCCAAATCAATAAATGTAGACAATTTAAAGTTTCAGGCAAAATAATATAAAGGTAATATTAATTTGGATTTAATTGTGTAGTCCAGGAGTCGTGGGGTACTCATTTCTTTTATTTCTTTTAAATTTATAAAACCATAATGTTCTTAGAGCTGTAAGTCACATTTCGACTCTACACGGCGTCGAGTTTACGAATTATATTAGATAAGCATTCGATAATATTTTAAATAACAATTTTCTGGATTATTATTGAATGACCTTATTTTAACCAGATAAAAACATCACTAGATATATTTATATACGTATATGGTACACTATATAAAAAAAGTATTAATTTATAAATATTTGTATTATATATATGTTACGGGCAAAGTACCTATACAGTTAGGGCATTTTTTACAACGCCTGGGCATTATATAAAATGATCTTTTTATATTGGGAAATATAAATAACATAATATTTATTTAGTAAAGTATTGTCAAAATATTTAATATTATCATGTTATAATATTTATAACATTAGAAAATAAAATAATTTTTTTAATTTTTGTATCACTTGTTTTTGCATGTACTGCTTCCATGGAATTTTTTACTTAGTATAAAATGAATTATTTGAAACTTTTTTTAACAAATCATTTAAATCTCCATTAAACTTTTTCACATTTTAATTATAAGTTAGTACACAGTTGAAATACACTAAACAAATGATTCAGGGTTACTAAAAAGTTAATTTTATGAGGATTAACCTCATAGATATCTAAAATGTTCCTTTAAAACCGATTAGAACAGACGAAAAACACACACTAGCTAATTCAAATCTACAAATAATAATCAGTGCTTAATCTAGCCAATTTTGACTATAATTTACTATTAAATATTATATTATCTATGTTGACTGATATAAGATGTCCAGACGTAGAAAATGCCCAATTTATTTACTTTGCCTGTAACATATACTTATGAAAAAATTAAAATCTTAATGTTAAGGCATACTATAAAGAGCCACAAGTTTCCGACTCCATTCTTCAAGTACTTATAAACAATACAAATTAATTATAGTGCCTATTGGTTTTGTCAGGAACATAAGTAAGATCTAAGTCCTGAGTTAATCTTTCTAGCTAATTACTAAGGTCTGTGTCGAATTAATATATTATCACTTATTGGTTGACTTTGTATTAAGATACTTAGTGATAATTTTAGTGTTTGGGGTTTTAATGTTGGAGTGTATGAACCCAACAATTGGTAATCCTTAGCAATTAAAATTAGAGGAATCAATAAGTTTTTATTGTTTGATGCTAATTTCAACAATATTTTAATATGCATAAGCAACATTTAAAATAATATAAAGACAAAGTTGATGTAGTCTTATCGGCTTATCAGCTGGCATGAATAATTAAAATCGAGAATAAATTCTAAATACAAATACAAATATGATTTAGAATTATTATTGTTAATATCCAATATCTATTCAATGTAATTTCCATTGAACTACCATACAATTTATTTCATACTTATAATTTGTTCTCAATTTATTTAAGTTTTTCAAATAAATTTTATAATAAATAGGTGGTTATATGTTTAAACATGTTATGAAATAAAGATACTGATAGCCTTTTTACAACATTTTTTCTCGTTAGTATTCTTTAATTCTATAAGTCTTGATTTTGTATTTTTAAGAGATTTCAGTACTTTGCTGTATTTACCCAACATAAACTTGTAATACAACAACAAATTCTTTTCTCAATCAATAAACTTTGTTATGGCAAGATTATATTATATAGCTTCTTCTCCACGCTATGGCTATATAAAATGAAAATTCATATTTTTATTTGTAATAAATAATACATATTAGAAAATATATAGTGATCAAATTAGTACATCAATTAATGATGTATTTAAAATTGAAACAATAGAATCCAATTTAATTTTACCACTTCCACAGTAGTAATAATTAATTATTTGTACATTACTATTGCTATAATATTTGATAATATACTTTTTTAATTTACCTAAGATTTGTTCAAGCAAAATATCAGTAAAAATTATTTAAATGGTAGTTTTAAAATTAAAATTGATATATAATACATTTATATACATAAGGAACACCACTAAACTGTCACATAATAAAATTGATTCTTTTCAATAATATTGTGCAGCCATGTCTTCTGCATCAATACCAAGCATAGCAAGTTCATCTCCATCAGATTCATTGCCATTTAATTTTTTAATATTTTCTTCTTTAGGTCCCTGAATAATTGGGACTTCTAATTTATCATCATCATCTTCATCGTACTCATCTTTTGTAGGTTCTTCTTCTTTACCCATAATTTTCTTCATGTGCCTACGTTTTCGTTGAGATGGAGCATTCTTTTTTTTTTTTCTTTCAGGAGAAACATTTAAGTTATTTGGTTCACTATATACCATGTTATAATGTTGATGAACCAATGGATTATGAACTTGAGAACTAATTGGTGTGTTTATGGAAGGTATTACCGAAGAAGTTTCACTGCAGGGGAAAATCATATTTAATGCAGTACTTAAATCTTGAGGTAATGTATTTGTAGTATGTGGTTGACTATACATCTGATGTATTTGATTTCCTGATTGTTGTGAACGATTAAATTGTGTTTCAATTGAATCAGTTTCTGAACTTACAATTGCATCATTTTCATTATCATCATCAATATCCATATCAACAGGTAATATATGTTTTTCAATCTGAAATAATTTTTATATACTTTAAACAAAGTCTAAAAATTGTTATATTAAATTTAAAAAAAAAATGTTCAACTTGTTTTTCTTAATAATACAGACTGTCTTTGCTAAGAACATAAAA